TACAGTTTAATTTATTCAATAAAAAATAGAATGACTACCAGATTAGTTATTCCACGATTAAAAATTGCTTAAAATACGCGTGTGTTCACCCCACTTAACATGAAATTTTCAAAATTAGTTTATTATGTTAGTCAAACTTGACTTTTCAAGTCAATGGTGTCTAACGTTGACCGGTAATATGTTTATATACAAGAGTATTGATCATATGAAAAAATGTTTTTTTTGTCAAAAATATTAATACCCCCTCCGGTCCGGTTCTTATTAAAGTTCCCACTTTCCTTTTCGAGTCGTCCCTTATTTAACTTCATACTTCTATTTTAGGAAAGTTTTTTAGGGTAAACGACACAAATATCCCCATCTCAATTACCTCATTTACTCCATTCACCTACCCCACCCATATAATCCCTCTGCCACCGCCCCATTTACTCTCTCCTACCCACCACTCCACTCATTTTCTTTCGTTCTGGTAGCACCGCCCCATTTACTGACCTTCTACCTTCTCTCTTCTGCCGGTCCCCTTCTCTCTTCTCCAGCGTGCCCCCTCCAGATCTATCTCCTCTTGTTTGCCTCCTTTGTTGCCCCCTTCTCCACGGTTAACCTAACCTTCATTTGACCACCAATAATGGATGGAACTCTCTCCAAACGAAACCGTCCTGTGGCCGGTCCAAACGCTGATAAAGAGATTGTTGGGCTTACGAAACGTGTTCGCAAATCAGAACCTGAGTCAGATCTGAATGGTTTGAAATCCAATGAAACCTCAGATCTGCACAGTCAGCCATGTTCGAATCCACCTTTACCCTTTGATGATGCTGAACATGCAGAACCCCTACAAGAATCTTTACCATTTGTTCGGTTTGGTCCTGAAAGAGAGGACACAAACCCTTATTGGCGGATGAGGAAGAAGTACGGTTCCTTGTTGGTGAGTGATACGTATTCAGGGCTGGATGGCTTGGAGGAAGATGGCAAAGAGGTGACATCGGCATTCTTTGAGAGGAATGGAGGAGGGTCAGAAGCGAGCTAGACTGCTGGGGAAGATGAGGAGTTCGATTTGGACTCTAAGGAGTGCATATGAGGTTCACAGTTCTAAGGGCAGTAATCTGTCTATTTCCCTGTGTAATTTTATTGCATGTGTTATTTTCTTCCCCTGTGTGAACCTGTGAATCCTTCTGTCCCCTAGATTGTAATGTGGAAACTGATGATGATTAGGGGCTTTGAGTTTAACATTTTGTGAATTTCTGTGTGGTGATGTTGTGAAATAATGTGTGGTATGCCATCCTTGTGCTTTTGTGTACTTGTGAAGCCCACTGAGTAAGTGAAGGAGGCCAAGTTACACAAAAAAGATAAACAGTTCATTAGACAATGCAAAAGGTTTTGTCACACGGTTCATTGTGAAAGTGTGCTAACACTTGCACATGTAAGTACACCAAGTAACTGTGCTTACAAGCAAGGAAAGTACATACAAAAAAGTACACTTACATTAGGCAAAAAATGTGTACTAACAATATTCTAGCTTTATTAATCCTCATGTAAGACAGTTCATAGTTGAGGATCCAGATTATCTTCATCTGTGAACTGAGTCCCTGCATTTTCAGCTGATGTGTTTGTTTCTAGTAGTCCATCCACATGTGTCTTTGCTGCCCAATAAACATCTTCACTGATCTGGATATTAGTGGGTAATAATCCCTTTCTTTCCAACTTGTCTTTTCCAATATGTTTGAGTTTGTAGTTATTTCCACCATTATGCTTCAGAATCTCTTCCATGACAAGTTGATACCTTAAGAACACCTTATTTAGGCAATGAGGTGTTAACTCATCATATGCTGTTTGTACTGATTCTATTAAATCCTTGATGGATTTTGGGGCTTTTGATCTTTCAAAGAGTCAATAGCCCTAAAAAAACCCAAGTCAAGCACATTGAGATCAGGGCTGTTTGGTGGCTGACAACGAAGTTGGATTTTCCATCCATCTTATGTTCCACTTTTGACAAATTCAGCATCATTCACATCTAAATGTGGTCTAGCATTGTCCTGTTGTATGATAACCTGTTTGTTTGCATCTGGCCACCTTTGTTAGATAGCTGGTATGATTTTGTTTAAAACCATGTCCTTTATGACTGGTCTGGTCACACTTGTAGTGGCCTTGGTCTCTAAGGTCCCGACAGGTCTGTTTTTGCTTCTCCTCTTTGTTGTGTCCTCATACACAAATGGGAAAATACCAATTTTCCCATCCCATAGTACCTCCCCAGTACTTCCCAGCATAGGCCTACCTACTGCAACAATAAACATTATTTTTGGTATGAAATTTTTGGACTGCGCAGTTCTGTATGGGTCTTCTTCATTTGGTAAGGTGTAAAAACATGTTGTTTATTTAGAAAGATAGAACCACTTCTCATCTATGTGTACATGGTCATAGAAGTCATGAAAAGTGGGGGTAAATGATAGTGAATGAGGCATGATATGACTGAGGCAAAACTCTAACCTTTTCTTCTTCCCCTCTTCTTTCAACAAAGGCTTAATTGCATTAGAATGCCTTTTTATTTTCTTTGCCTTCAACCAACGCTGCACAGTTGTCTTTGACACCCCCATTGCATATGCCAAAGACCTCATGTTTTTTCTATTCTTCAAAGGAACTTGTGACATCTTTTCCATGTCAAATTGAATTCGTTTTGGTCCCACGTCACCTGTCCATTTGCTGTGCACATTAATGGCAGCTCCACACTCCATATGTGCCTTTGCTGTCACCCACAGTTTGTGTACAGTCCTTGTAGAAATGTTAAACTCCTTGGACACATTTGTAATAACGCCCCTCTGAAGTTTTCCATCTGTTGCTTTGCTTAGTAGTACCTCTATAATCCGCCTTCTTAGTTCTGTTGTTTGCTTCGACCACGTTTTCTTGACTGTGTACTGTGGCTCATTTTCTTCTGCTATGTCTTCTGGTGCAGGTATCAGTTGAAGAATCTGGTTTGTGTCATCTTGTAGAGGTGGGACATTAATATCAAAGGATTCGGAAGATGTTTCAAAAAAGGAACCAAGAGGGGTGGCAGAAGAAGACTGCAGAAATGAAGAACTTTCCATTTCATGTGAAGAAGAGAGTGTTAAGACAGTGTGTGGTTGGACCGAGCTCATGGGGTGCTTTATGTAGTGGTCAGATTTTTTAGGAGGGAAATGTCCTCTTAAAACCTTCTATTTTGGGTTTTGGAGGGAAGTGAAATGTCATTCTCTTTCCTCAAAAGTTTTTTTGGACCGTACTTATGTAAACAGAACCAGACACTTTACTCTCTTTCATCTTACTTTATTCTTCTTTTTTCTTTTGTTTTACCGTGCCCCACCCTTTACTTTTACCCCACCTATTTATTGTTTGTTAAGGGTATAAATGGAAAGTCAAAGGCAATTACTTTTCCACCTAAATAATTGTGAAGTCCAACTACGAACTTGAATAAGAACCGGAGGAAGTATAAAAGTATAATTTTTTTAAAGTTTGCATAAATATACTCTGAATTGGTTAAAATAATTGATCAAAGTTTATCATCTTTGACTGGAGAAATCAAGGATGACTAACTATAATGGGACGAATGTAGTATATAATACTTGACATGAGCTATAAAAGAAGAAAAATCTAAAATAGTTTATTGATAGATTAATTATCTAGAGAGAAGGGAGAGCTAGAGAGATAAAGTGATATGTATATATGAATTTCTAACCCTTTACTTGGCTCCCATTGGGAGTATTTATAGGGAAAATATGGGCTGGGCTCCTAAGTATTAGGCTTGGGAGGCATGTTTACAATGAGGTCACTATTGGGTCGGATACAAAAATGTAAATTGGCTAAGTATGAAATCTAGTTATTCGAGGTCTCTGTGGCCGATGGAGGTCTGGCCGACGGAGACTCGACCGACGGGGCACCCTGATTCTCCTAGCTTCTGGACCATATTCTGAGTTGATATATGTCTGGCTGATGGAGGGTCATCTGGCTGACGGAGGACTCACTGGATGACAGTTGTGCTTCCTCTTAGTCTTCTGAGTATGTGGGTCATGGGATTTGAACCCATATACTCCATCATTTATATTGATGAACTATTTTAATTAAGTTTAGTTTTGTCCGTCTTAGACATCAATAATATTATGAATTTGTTGAATTTGGCAAATAAATAGTAGAACAAGGGATTCATTTAAGACTAGAATACTTATTGTATAAACAATCCTATGTTAATTGTTTGTACGTAGTTTTTAATTTATCTTGAATGGATAAATTAAAAGTACCCAAATCTGTAAAATATCAAACACTAATAAAATGTCATACAAACTATTTAAACAGTTTTAATATAAAGTGAAGTGAAGTCAAAATATAAATGTGTGTATGACATTAAAATTACACAACTCATTGAGTTCTGACTTTTTAAAAAACAATTGTATAAATAAGAAACAGTAAACTATTCTAGCATGGATACAATCTAAATGTAATACACACCAGTTACATGAATTAACAACATAGTATTTTTCTAAGAAACAATAAGATCATACATACTATTGTACATACTGTATAATATTAAAAAGACTCATTTGGTTTACAAACACTCATGGTAAACAAAAAAGTGAAATTCAAGAATTTGATTTTGTAATCTTATTAATACGTGGCAAGATTCATGCAGTTAAACAAGGAAATAGTAATTTAAAAATTATACTCATGTGTACTTGTTAGTCCTTTTATTTTCAAGTAAATGGATACAATTTTAACCATTTTTTAATAATAAAATAGTTTTCAATATTATTTGGCATTACATAGATTTTAATTTACCAGTACCATTTGTCTAGATCACTTCAATGAAAAATCTAAGTTATTATTTTCATTGTTTAAATTTACTGTATTATACATTTAAATGTAGTATGTATGCTAATTTTTTATTTTTGAATAGGTAAAGTCCTACACTAATGAAAATAGTTTCTCTTCTCTTAATCGCAAATTCTGAATTCATCATTGAGTAATCATAAGAGAATTATGGAGTATGGGATTAATATATATCACATCAACATCCTTTTTGGGATGCTTCAAACTGGACTGGTTTTAATCCTAAACTAGACGAGACCAAATTTCGACAATTATAAATACACATAAAACATATATCTACCAAACCAGTTAAGTTCAAATTATATCAGACCATAAAAGAAAATTTGAGTCTTATGAACAACATCATTAATAATTATTTTCTATACATGACTAAATTAACAAGCTCCTTAATCCTTACTTTCTATATATTTTTCGGTAATTGTGGAGCCATTTGTGAATGTTTAATGTTGACTTGAAAAGGGATTGAATTGAGAGACTAAGGGGGTGTTTGGAACTGATTATGCTTATGCTTCTTTTTTAAAGCAGAGCAGAATCAGAATCAGTTTTCAGAAGCTGGTACCCCCAGCTTGTAAAAAAACTGATTCTAGGAGTAAATTAGAGCACCAGAATCACTTTTGTATTTTCATCCAAACACTCTAACTTCTGCTTCTGCTCCCTTCTGAAGGAGCAGAAACAGTTTTAAGAATCGGATCCAAACACCCCTAATAAGAAGAGGAAGATATATAAAATAACGGTAACTGATTAACTACCCTTTCTTTTTGGTGTGCCGACTTTTGACAATTACCAACAACTGTTTGCCCCAAAAGTGATAAACCGGTGCTCCGGCCATTACAACAACTGACACGTACTAATACATTTTGTTCGCTGGCGATCCCTTCCTCTGCCCTTCTTCTGACTGTGATCCAATCCGCATCCTCTTCCGATCCGATTTCTGAATTGGAACATAATTCTCTTACCCTTTGCATCGGAGATTCGAATGATTCAGTTCTCCGGAGGGCTTTTGGATTCTCCATTGCCGAACTCCAGATTCGTTTCTCAAGAACACTCGTCGGAGATTCAGAATCAGAATGTTGATTTTGTACTTCAGAGTTGCCGAATTGTTCAAGGAATGGGTGCCGGATGAGTTGGGCTGCCGTCCACCTTTCTTTTGGATTTGTTTTTAAGCATTTCATCAAGAAATCCTTCGCCTGATCGGAGAGAAATTCCGGAACCGGCGGCAACTCGCCGGAAAAAGCTATTTTGAACAGCATTGTTGCCGGGCAGGTGAAATTAGGCCACGGCGAGACACCGGTGGCCATTTCAATGATCGTGCACCCCAGCGACCAAATGTCCGCCGGGAACCCCTGATCTTTCCCCTGTGCAACCTCCGGCGCCATGAACAACGGTGTCCCGGCAATCAAATCCCGCCCATCCCTCGCCGGATTCAGCCACTTGGCGCATCCAAAATCCGCAATTTTCGCGGCGCCGCCTTCTCCCAGCAGAACGTTACTGCCCTTAATGTCACAATGCACTATTCCGTTCGAGTGCAAGTAAACCAACCCCTGCACAATCTGCCGCGTGTACCGGCAGACCGACGACTCATCGTGGCGGCCGCCGTCGAGCGTTCCTCCGGGCATATACTCCATCATGAGGTTGAACACGATCTTATTGTTCTCCGACGTGACATCGTATCCTCTGTACTCGACGATTTGTGGGCAATTTAAATTAGAGAGAATATGTTGTTCCCTTCGCAAGAATTCCGACTTGGAAATCTCAGCAGATTTAACGGCGAATATTTCGCCGGAATGGCGAGAGACGGCGATCGACACGAAGGCGGATGAGCCGCGGCCGATGATCTGGCCCTTGATCCAGCTCATATTGGACACGGCGAGGAGTCTTTTGTTGTGGGTAATTGTTTACTTTGGCAGTTTTGCAGAATGGTACGGAGTATATATACAGAGAGGGGGCTTTCTTGGAGAGAACGTGATAAAAGGTTTTGTGTGTGCTTTGAACAGCCTGGATTGGGAACTTAGAAGGCTGTACAGTTTGGCATAATTTATTATGAACTAAAGAAGGTTAAAGTTTAGTACAATACGCATGTTCAGATTTCAAAGAAAGACAATATGATTAGTAGTCATGTTTAAGTGCATAACTGTGTAATACCGTAATTAGTTTATGTTTTACTCGGGGCAGCCCTAGGGAGGAGGAAGGGAAGGACTGGACTAAAAAAAATTCTTTTCAAAAATAGACTCTAAAACTTTAACACTGTAATCTCACTTTGCTCACACTTGAAATATGTAGCAGTATATGTTAGATTATTATTTTATTGTATTCAAAATAATTGTAATTTAATTAATGAGTCTTCGTATTTAATTAGATTAACTGAGAGAGAATTAAGCCTGATTTAGATGCTCTACATAGCCCACACGCACGACCCACTCTGTTTCCTAATTGTATTAGGTAGTTCGAACATCTCTCCTATAAATACAGGTTGAGATGGCCGAAAACTGCTAAGCCTCTACACAATCTGTTTCCGCATGTTATTCTCTGTAGAACCAGTAGATTAGAATTCTCTCTCAAGCTTATTCGTTCGAGTACTGTGTATTGTTCGTCAATCTGGGCTTTTATTCACACAATTGGTATCAGAGGCTCGGCGCAATTCCGTTCTTGAGATTCCTTGAATTTTTCTGGAATTAATTTTATGAAAAACACAATTTTTGGTTGAATTAATCTCTAGATTTGTTCTTGGAAACTTACTGTTTTAGAAGGTTTCTATTATGGAAGAAGTATCCCAGTTAAAGATTAAGTTACCAAATTTTCGCTGGTCCGAGATTCTACTTTAAGGAGACTCGAGATCTCAACTTTTACACGGTCATCCGAAATAAGCTCACCCGAGTTTCTATTTTCAGAAACCCGAGATCAGCACATCCGAGATCCTAATTTTGGACAACCAAATTCATCTTCCGAGTTTCTAATTTCGGACATCCGAAATTTGGTCATCCGAGATTATCCAACAGCCCATCCGAGATCTCCATCTGAAATCCAGAATTCGGACCATCACCTTGATCATCTGACCGAGATCTGCTTTTGAAATCTTCACCTGAAATCTTTTAAAGCAGTACCAAAAATCTTTTCAACAGAACAGTTCTCGTCTGTAAAGATCAACAACAGTCATGGAAGCTTACATACACACTTGGAAGTGATTCAAGACCTCCTCTGCTCAGAAGGGGGGAATTTGCTGTCTGGAAAATCCGTTTCCTCAATTTCATTCGAAGCCGAGACAATGGGAAGAACATTCTTATCTCTCTCAATGAAGGACCACTCAAAGTTTGGGTTGATGTTCCAGTCATCACAACAAATAATCGTCCCACTCCAGCTGGTAAAGCATTGAAATTTGAGGATGATTACACTGAACCTCAGAAACTAAGAGCAAAGGCTGATCTACTTGCTGCTACTTATTTGTTACAAGCCATTCTGAATGACTTGTTTATGCAAATTGATAGCCTTACCACTGCAAAGGACTTGTGGGATGAGATTCATCAAATCATGCAAGGCACTGATGTTGGAATTAAGTCCAAACGAGCACACACCCTGACTGCATATTACTCCTTCGCCGCCAGACCTGATGAAGAGCTGGAAGACACCTATCAACGATTTCTCATGGTCCTTAACGAGATGAAGAAGATCAACATTCGCAAAACCAATATGGAAGTTAACCTTCACTTCCTGAGGTCTCTAAAGCCCGAATGGAAGAAGACAACCAAACGAATCAGACAAAACAAAGACCTAGATGAGCTGACCATCCATAACCTCTACGACTGTCTAGGTGAATTCTCTGAGGATATTCGTGAAAAAGTCAACTCTTCAAAGGGAAAGAACATTGTTGACACACTTGCCCTCCTTACATCTGAGAAAAAGAAGAAAGAAAAAGCTCCTAAAATTACCTTTGAAGATGACTCATCCGATGAAGAGAAAAACATGTCTGATTCTGACCCTGAGAATAATGAGCTAAAGAAAGAGTTGGCGTTGCTGACCAACATGACAAGGAAAATAAACAAGAAGTTCACCAGATTCAGAAATCCTGCTACAAACAACAAACACAGAATTTCTTTCTCAAACTACTCAGAAAGAGTCAGCAGACCATCTGATAAGGCAGTTAGCAGTGACCCAATGAAGTGTTTCAAATGTGGAAAGCCAGGACACTTTGCCAAAGAGTATCGATCTGCCAAGAAGAAGGACTTCAATTACTATATGCAGAAAGCACAACTCGCTAAACAAAAGGAGCAAGGGGTTGTCTTAATGGCTCAACATGACAGCTGGCTCGAAGATTCTGAAGATAGGGAACTAGAGAACTTGACACTGATGGCAAGGGTAACCGAATCTGGTAGTGAAAGTGATGACTCTGAAGAAGAAGACAATGGTGTTACATCTGCTGAGAATGAGGTAAGTAACCTAAACTCTTTAATTTCTCAACAAAATGACAAAATGAAAGAGCTAATCACTTCATTTAAAAGAGAGAAAAATAAAATAAAGGAACTTGAAGACAGACTTGCTAATAATCAAAAGGTTCTCGAAAAACAAGTGTTGGAAGGAGCATTTGAAACTGCTCGCTTAAAAGATTCATGTGATAGAGTTCCTAAATTAGAGTCAGAAGTAACTAAGCTTAAGCAAACCGTTAGTGACTTAACTAAGGAACGTGATGAGAATAAACGGCAACGTTCTGAAGTTGTTATTCGCTATGATCTAATTAACAAAGAACGAGGTCAACTTTACTCTAAGATAAAGGAGTTAGAGGATATCTTAGGGGGTGTGCACACTTAAGGGTGAAGTTCAGTTTCCAATTGGTGGTCGGTGGGAGCCGGAATTCCGGGATGAGTCGTACACAACAACGATTCATTGGGCTCGATGAATCTTGAGTTTCGCCCATCTTAAAAGAATCTGAAAGTGACATTGATTTCGGAATGGTGATATTTTTAGCTTCAAAAGTTATTTTTGAAAAGTGATACTTCTTTTGAGATATTAATTAATTGTTGGGAGCTTATAAATATTATTTTTAATTATAAGGGTATTTGAGATTGTTGATAAATAATGTTTTGAAAAGAATTTCGGTGGTGTGAGTATTTTTATATATAGTATTATATGAAAAACTATTTTTGTCAAACTTGATTATTTTACGGGGTTGGGTAGTACTTACTTAGCTCTAAAGCTAATTTTTGTTATTTTTCTTGTCTCTCTCTTCTCCCTTAAATTTTATCAGGTGATGAGTTGGATACCTATGTGGATTGATGGATTGATCGAGCTTGAGTGTGAATTAGAAGATGCCTTAGTTAAATCTAGTCATGAAACAAACATTTACTTATTATTACATTAGTTTTTGTTGTTTTACTTTGAGTTGCCTGTGCATTCGGTTAAGAGATGACCGAATGTGACGGTAACACCCATTTCCCTTTTAGACTTCCGCTATATTTCTTCAATTCTTTGATGAATGAATAAAGTATTTCTTTTAAATATATCAATGTTTTGGGCGGGAAATTTAGGGGTGTTACACTTCCACATTCTCTCTGGGCTGAAGCTATCAACACTATTTGCTTCACTCAGAACAGGACCTCAATTCACAAACTATTTGGAAAGACACCATATGAGCTGATCAACCGCCGAACTCCCAATGTTTCTTTTCTAAGAGTTTTTAGATGCAAGTGCTTCGTGGCTAATGACAGAAAAGATCGAAGCAAGTTTGATCCGAAAGAATTTGAGGGCGTGTTTATTGGCTACTCCTCTTCGTCTAAAGCTTACCGAGTTTACATCAGATACAGAAAGAAGGTCATTGAAAGCATCAATGTGACCTTTGACGAGAAAGAAGAACAGACTTCTGGACATATCAGTTTAGAACTCGATATCACTGGTGTTCTAGCACAACTACCCGCATCATCTCCTCACATGATTCCAACATTGTGGATCTCGATCATCTGTTTGACCAAATATACGAGAATCCACAACCACACGATCCATCTCCTACACCTTATACTGCGTCTACAGCTGCAACTCCCGTTCTTTCATCAACTCCATTATCTTCTGCAGCCCCAGCTGAGACTGAAACTTCAACACCTCCGTCTTCTGATCCTACAACGTCATCTATTCCTCATGCTGATATTCCTTATGTTGATCAGCAACCAAACAATAACGCTCAGTCACTCCCTCATGTTACAAAATGGACATGTGCTCACCCACCTGATCTCATACTTGGAAATCCATCAAGTGGAGTATGCACACGATCTGCTCTCGAGAATGAATGTCTGTTTTCCTGTTTTCTAAGTCAAACTGAGCCTACTCATATCACCAAAGCGTTAGCTGATCCTGATTGGATAATTGCCATGCAAGAAGAAATCAATCAGTTTGAAAGACTGAAAGTCTGGTCACTTGTGCCTCGTCCCCCTGGAAAATCAATCATAGGCACTAAGTGGATCTTCAAAAACAAGAAAGATGAAGACGGGATCATGATTCGCAATAAGGCCCGATTAGTTGCGAAAAGCTACAATCAACAAGAAGGCATTGACTGCAATGAGACGTTTGCTCCAAATGCACGCATAGAAGCCATTCGATTGTTCATGGCTTATGCTGCACACAAGAACTTCACCATCTATTAAATGGACGTCAAAACTGCATTCTTGAATGGGATCTTGAAAGAAGAAGTTTACGTTGATCAACCAGAAGGCTTTGTATGGACTCAAACAAGCCCTGACATTCATGTAATTTCCATATTTATGTTTATGTTTTTAATTAGTTTAGATTGATTGTTACCTTGGAAATTACACACTTTTGGTGTAATAGTTTAATTTGTAAAAATGTTTGTAATTTGTTTAGATTAGGTTTATACTGAGCTCAAACATGTCCAAGATCACTCTAGGGACCATTGGTGAACATCAGAAATGGAAGGAAGGTGAAAAAATCTCAAGAAAAATTGAAGATTCTGATTTTTGGTGTTGTACCCGGTCGGGTATGACCTATACCCGATC